GCGAGGTGGATGGCAAAGTCACCAACTTCTCCACCAACAAGGTGGAAGAGGGAAAAGCCTACCAGTTCCGTATCCTGGCAGTCAATTCAGAAGGTGTGAGTGACCCACTGGAGACGGAAGAAGTGTTTGCAGGAAATCCCATAGGTCAGTGAGATAGCCTGGTGCTCAGTGGGGAACCCAGGGGTCAGCGTGGGGGCCTTCAGCCAGGGATGAACACTGATCTGTGGGGAATTCCACAGGAACATCTCTCTAGCTGTCTCATGAGACAGACTGATTCCAGAGTAAAAACAGAACATCATTTTGGGTAGGAATTCTCAACTTTGTCCAGTCATATCACATGCACAACACACTCCCATGAGTATACCCAGGACGTACACAACTTCAGGGAACTGACTCCACTTCTTTCTCCATCCCAGAAGTCATCCCAGAATCCAAGTGAGCATGATGTTGCTTTAGGGATAACCTTGAAACCACTCTAACTTTTTCCCCACAGAAAACCCTTGACAACATTGGCATTTTAATTATAATTACAGGCTGGGCACAGTGGCGCACAGCTGTAATCCTAACACTTTGGGAGGCCGAGGTGGGCGGATCACCTGAGGTCAGGAGTTCAAGACCAGCCTGGCCAACATGGTGAAACCCTGTCTCTACTAAAAATACAAAAATTAGCTGGGCGTGGTGGCAGGCTCCTGTAATCCTGGCTACTCAGGAGGCTGAGGCAAGAGAATTGCTTGAACCCAGGAGGCGGAGGTTGCAATGAGCCAAGATCATGCCACTGCACTCCAGCCTGGGCAATAGAGTGAGACTTCGTCTCAAAAATAATATTATTATTATTACTGCAAGTTAATTACTTGCTATACCTCTCCCAACTGATCTCCAAATCTCGTGTCAGGACAGCAGATTGAGAATAATGGGATTGGGGGTCACACTGCAGAAAAGTTTAAGTCACTGATTCTCAATGTTGGCTATACACTGGAATCACTTGGTTTCTTTAATAATGCTAATAATACTTGCCATTCACACCAGGCATAGAATATGGGTAGGCGGGACCCAGACACTAGTTGTTGTTAGTGGGGTTTTTTTGTTTTGTTTTGTTTTCATTTTTGTTTTTACTTCCCACTTGATGCTAATGGGCAAGCAAAGTTAAGAATCATTTGTAGGCTGGGCGCGGTGGCTCAAGCCTGTAATCCCAGCACTTCGGGAGGCCGAGACGGGTGGATCACGAGGTTAGGAGATCGAGACCATCCTGGCTAACACGGTGAAACCCCGTCTCTACTAAAAATACAAAAAACTAGTCGGGCGAGGTGGCGGCGCCTGTAGTCCCAGCTACTCGGGAGGCTGAGGCAGGAGAATGGCGTAAACCCAGGAGGCGGAGCTTGCAGTGAGCTGAGATCCGGCCACTGCACTCCAGCCTGGGCGACAAAGCGAGACTCCGTCTCAAAAAAAAAAAAAAAAAAAAAAAAAAAAGAATCATTTGTGCCAGGCATGGTGGCTCATGCGTGTAATCCCAGCACTTTGGAAGGCCGAGACAGGAGGATCACTTGAGCCCAAGAGTTCAAGATCATCCTGGGCAACACAGTGAGACCTTGTCTCTAAAACAGGAAAAAGAAAAAAGAATCACTGGTTTGAGTTTATTTAAGCAGGGGAGGCAGAAGTCAGCATGAGGTGGGCAACTATCTACATGCTCCCCTTCCTAACCTTTGTGCTCTCTCTCTCCCCCACAGAGCCTCCTGGTTTTGCCTCCCAGCCTCAAGTGACTGATGTGACTAAAGAGACTGTGACCATCACGTGGAATGTCCCTACCCAGGATGGGGGAGCCCCAGTGCTTGGCTACATTGTAGAACGAAGGAAGAAAGGCAGTAACCTGTGGGTGCCAGTCAACAGGGACCCCATCCAGGGTGAGGTCCTTGGGACAGAGGCCCAGGAGGGGCCAAAGGTGGTCTTGCTGAGTGGACCCATTAATTGCTGACATAGTCCCTCCTCCAGCTCTTCTGGAAGTTTTAACAACATCCCATGACCTCCTCTTCTATGTCTCTCACTCTTGTTCTCACCCCATGGATGCCTCTGGCCTCATGACCCCTCATCTTCCCATTTCAGGCACCAAGTGCACTGTGAATGGTCTCCTGGAAGACACAGAATATGAATTCCGAGTTATAGCTGTAAATAAGGCAGGCCCTGGACAGCCCAGTGTGCCATCCAGCTCAGTAGTGGTCAAGGATCCTGTTAGTGAGTATGGGGCTGCCAGGTCCTGACACATAATGGAATTAGCCCATTCAAAGTAGAGAAAGAATTTCTTCCCTGGGGAAGTATGACAGGAGGTACCACAGTCTCTATACTCTGGAAACTGCCAGTCTCATAGAGGGACAAGATTCACATGCAAGAGAAAGTCAGCAAATAAAGACTGAGAGTCAGGGACAGTGAGGAGGTGGAGTACAAAAACGTTTTTTAAATTTCGTGTATTTCTAGTTAGGTGAGGTAGGAGAGGCAAGCTGAGGGTTGAGTAAGGGTGTGAGGTAGATGGTTGGAGGGTGTTGCATATAGGAAGCAAGGTGAGGGTACTGCCTGGAAGTGGATGTGGTGGAGATGGTTGGGTTAAAGGCTGGGGTTTTGAATATAGAAGCTTTGAATGTGTGGGGTATGCTGAATTTAAGGGGTATTGAGTTTAAGGATGAAAGTGTTGAAACAGTAAGACAACTGAATTTGAATTTGGAGGTTGAGTGTATAAGGTTAGGTACTGAGGGCGTTAACTGGGGGATCTGGAGCTAGAAGTAGTGAAAGATGGGGTTCAGGAATATTGAGTGGAGATGAGTTTGGTGGGTCACTGATTACATGTCTGTTCTACCCCAGAACCCCCAGGCCTGGTCCAGGACCTGCATGTATCTGATTCCTCCAACTCCAGCATTTCCCTGGCCTGGCGGGAGCCTGCAGAGGGAGACCCACCCTCTGGCTACATCCTTGAGATGAGGACTGAAGACACAAAGGAGTGGTCCAAGTGCACAAAGATCCCCATCTCAGGCACCTGCTACACAGTGGGAGGACTCACCGAGAGGCAAAAATACTTCTTCCGAATCCGGGCTGTGAATGAGGCTGGGGTTGGGGAGCCTGTGGAGCTAGACAAGGGGGTCCGTGCCATGCCACCACCAGGTGAGGAGACAGAGAGGGCTGGGGATTCATGCCCAACATGGTACCTCCAAACCTTCTCCTCTGGGGCCTCATCCCACAGGAAAATTGGATGATGCTATGATCATGAAAAAGTCATCCATAGTTATTGTGCCTGGACAAAGTTAGGGGTAACTTCAGGGGCACCCCCACTAAAGCAATCATTGTGTGCCAAATAGCATCCACTGTGTGTCAAAGTATAACCACCCAATGGGTTCTTCTTGCCCATTGCACACACAAAACCGGTTCACTGAGACCACAGCATTGCAACAAAGAGTTTAATGGACACAAGGCCAGCCATGCCGTATGGGAGACGGAGTTATTACCCAAATCAACTCCCCGAAAATTCAGAGGCCAGGGAGCCTGCTTCTGAGTGGGGCCACAGGACCAGTGGGGTGGGGGGGTCAGCAGGTCCAGGTGGAGCTATCAGTCATCAGAAATGCAAAAACCTGAAAAGACATCTCAACGACCAATCTTAGGTTCTACAATAGTGATGTATTTGCAGGAGTAGCTGGGGAGTTGCAAATCTTGTGATCTCTGGAATAACGGCTGATAATCTTTTATGTCTACACCTTAGCAGAATTCAGGCTCCTCACATCCTCCTAACCTGGTGGCCTTTCATTAGCTTTGCAAAGGTGATTTAGTTTGGGGGAAGGACTGTTATCATCTAAACTATAAACTTAAAAAATGTCTCTCCCAACGTTAGCTTGGTCTGAAACCAGGAATTATTAAGGGCAGTTTGGAGGTTAAAGGTAAGATGGGGGTTGGTTAGATCAGATCTCTTTCACTGTCATAATTTTCTCACTGTTACAATTGTTGCAATGGCAGTTTCAAAAGGTGGTGTTAAGAATATAGAAACAAGACACAGGACTTGCCTTCCAGGGTCTTGCATACTAGTAGAAGGAGACAGATAAGAAAACAAATAAATGTTTCACAGTGTTACAGGGCAGCTAGTGTCCTATGGCCTGTAGTGGGGGCATAAAAGAGGAGAGGTTGGGAAGGCTTTGATGAGGAGGCTTAAAGCAGAGTCTTCTTGAAAGAGAGATCCATGCCTCCACCTCTGTCTCCTCCATCTCAGCTGCACCCAAGTTTGACCTCAGTGCCCGGCTGAAGAGTCACATGGTGGTTCGCGCTGGGACAGCCCTCTGCATCCATGCAGCCTTCTCCGTGAGTTGTCCCTGACCCTGACCTCCATACACTCTCCAATAACCAAAATGGCTATTGTAGCCATCACAGTCTCTGACTCTGACTCTGCCCCTCACCAGACCCCTAGTGTGACAAGCCTGGCGGGAAACTCGACAATGGAGGAAGGCCTGCCCCCAAATATCATCTGCGTGACCAATTGTGCCATCTCCTGTCACTACTCAGGGCTCACCACCACCTGACGTGATCTGGCAGAAAGATGGTGTTCCCACCAAGGGCCGAGAAACAATTACCAAGAGCAAAAACCACTCCCAGTTCCTCATCAATAGCGCCAAGCGCTCTGACTCAGGGGTGTACCGAATCTTGCTTCAGAATGAGTTTGGAGAAGCACACTATGACATCCATGTGCACGTAGCAGGTATGGAGAGAAGGCAGAGGCCTCCAGGACCCATCCCTGCACACTCTCCAAAGTACAGCTCCCCCGTGCCGCTTGAGTTCCTACCACAGGAAAGTTGAGCCTTAGGGTCATGAAGATTTCTTTGACAACCCAGAGCAAAACTTTATCATACAGAGAATGGTCAGCAGAGAGTAGAAATGAGTGAGGGGCAGGAGCGACAAATGGAGATGAATCCATTAAAAATTGGGGTGACCGCTTAAAGAGAGCTGGGAGCTTTAAAATAAAGCTCTAAACCCCCAAGGAAGGAATGGATTCACTTTTACTGAACAGTAATTACATGCCAGGCTCTTTACCCACTATTTCTATGAAATAGTCATTGTTAGCTCTATTTTGCAACTGAGGAAAGAAGTTTCAGATAAGTAACTTACCCCAGGTCACAGGGCTAGTAAATGGCAAAGCAGACTTCAGAAATAGTTTTCCGACTCCAAGACACCAGCTGCCTGAGACTTGCCCCATCTTATCTACCATCGGACTTGGCAGATGGCTGGGTTGGGGACACAATACTTCAGGTCCCCCAAGGTCGCTGACAGATCTTCCAACTCTTCCAGATTTCCCTCGGCCCCCTACAAACCTACGGTTGTTTGAGGAAGTCCCCAACACAGTGACTCTGACCTGGAACCACAGCCCAGATGTGCAGGAGGACAGTGAGGCTCACTATGTCATCATGAAGCGGGATGCAAGCACCGCCACCTGGTACACGGCAGCCGAGCGTGTCTTCAGCAACAAGTACACAGTGACCGGGCTGCTCCCAGGCAGGAAGTATTACTTCAGAGTGGTGGCTCGGAATGAAATCGGTGACAGTGAGCCACTTGACTCCAAGGACACCTGGCTCATCAATAAAGACCAGAGTAAGTCTGGGTGCCCTGATGGTGGGGATGACATAAGAATCGCAAAGGGTACCCAAGAGGCAGGATAAAATCCGAAAACCATTGAGATAGAACGGTTAATATCTGGGACGCTGCGGAGAGAAGGAAATGTTGGCTTTCTTCGGGATACTTAGGGGTGAGACTAAAGTGGAGATGGGGAGGTACCTTTGGGGGCGGAGACGACGGTGGAGGGGCTGCGGAGGGACTTAGAGCGCAGACGCGTTCTGCGTTCTGCTCTGAGGGGAGGGTCTAACCGGGCAGAGAACAGGGGCGGGCTCTAGGGAGCCAGGAGGATGGCTGGGATCCCTGGAGACTAGGGGTTAAGGGTGCGGGCCGCATCGGGAAACTCGAACTGAGGAGCTAAAGGGATAAGACGGGACACTGTGGACGCTGATATGACGTAGGGGAAGCTTGGAGGCGGAGTTAAAGGCTGGGAATAACAGGGTCCAGGAAGCTGGCGCTGGAATGACATCTTGGCCCCGGGTGTATGGGAAAGCATGGCTTGGGTAGCAGAACCCTGGAGTGGCTGGGGACGGGGCTGGGGGGTCTGGGAGAGGTCTGGGGGCTGGTGGGGAGCCCTTAGGAACCAGTGTAACATTGGGCCCCCAGAGTTAGTGGCGCTGGGAATCTGGCCTAGGTCCTCGGGGTTTCGTGTAAGCTGAGCTCTAAGATGTGGGTGGTGGGTGGGGGCCTTGGGGCGCGCTCACGGCCCGCCCCGCCCCGCCCGCGCAGTCGAGGATCTGAGCGCCAAGCTCAAGCCCTACGAGAAGAAGGACTGGCGCCAGGCACCGCGCTTCCTGACGCCCCTCAAGCCACACACGGTGCTCCGCGGCCAGGACTGCACCATGACCTGCGCCTTCCTTGGGAACCCGCGACCCACAGTGACCCTCTACAAGGGCGACGTCAACATAACGGCCAACTCCAAGTTCTGGTACAACTCCACCAGCGGCGTGTGCACCCTCGTCATCCCCACCTGCACGCTCAAGGACAGCGGCGATTACAGCGTGCTGGTGGAGAACGAGCTGGGCAAGGACTGCAGCAGTTGCATGCTCACCGTCTATGGTGAGGGCGCCACGGGGTCCGGCCTCGGGGAGGGGGAGAGGCGCAAAAGGCTGGTCTTGTGGGCCATTGGTCAGCTCTTTTTTTGGCTGGCACCGTTTTTTGAGCTGACTACCAATAGGTGGTGCAAACATTCTTAATTGGCCACAGTTCTTACCACTCTCCCATCCTTTCGATGTCATTTGTTATATGCCTGGTCCCTGCAGACATGAGAGTTCTCAATCCCTAGATAAGATGTGGTTTGCAACTCTTGGTGAGCCTAGACTTGCCTTCAAAAAAAAGATACTGGTGATCAGGATTCAACCAGACTCACCAATCATGATCTCTCTGGCAGGGTTCTGGAAATAACCTTTATGTTTACAAAATTTTGCGGGTGATTCTGATGTGCAATCAAAATTAAAACTGGTCTAGGATAAGGGCAGGTGGGGGGCACAAGCAAGGCGAGGAGCGAAGGGAACCTCCCTTTTGTACATGCATGCCATGTTTCTACTCATGTGTGCACACATCGGGGGAAGCATTTTATTCCTTCCCAGTCTACTGTCTTCATAGCCACACAGCTAGCAGCATGAACTCTAAATGCAAAGCTGGCCCTCCCTTTTGTACATGCATGCCATGTTTCTATTCATGTGCACATATCAGGGGAAGCATTTTATTCCTTCCCAGTCTACTGTCTTCATAGCCACACAGCTAGCAGCATGAACTCTAAATGCAAAGCTGGCCTGCCTTGCTGTTGCTTAAATTTCCCCCGGCTTTCCTTTCATGGTTTCCCCCTCCAACAAGGTTTCCCCCTCCCCCACCTCTCATCTCATTTTCTGCTACTCCTGAACCTTCCATGACACTCCACTGCTGTGGTCTCCATGGTTACAAACCTTTTTTTGTCCAGTTATAGATACCTTTCTTTGGGGAAAGGACCTTGTCCTGTTGCTCTGTCTCTTGAGTGCTTAGCTAAGTGTCTGGCACTGAGACAATATCTCCAGAGAGGCTGCTGAGCTGTGTAAAAGAACTAGGCCAGGGAAGGCACTGTGGGCGCTATCCAGCTTTCATTCCACAGCTAAAGAGATCCCTGATAACTCAACTCTGGTTGTAAGCACAGCATATGGGCCCAGGGCCCTGGCTCTGCCACTGACCAGCCATGTGACCTTAGCAAGCGACCTCATTGAGCCTGTTTTCTCATCTTCTTTATAGGACTGTGAGGTTTAAATGAGATAGTACAGAATTGCCTGGCACAATGTCTGACAAATATTAACTGCTAGATAAATGGCAACTCTCGCCCCTTCCGCTCTGCCAACCCAAGATTAAGGGTCCCAGGGTCCAGCTCCTGGTTTCCTGCATAGGAAGTCCAGCAGTTTGGAATTTCCCTGGTCCCCAGCATCATTAATATAATGAATACTTGCTTTGCTCTTTCAGACAAAGATGATAAGTCAATTGTAGCATCCATCACCGAGAGTCTGCAGAAGAAATCAAAGCACCTTATGTGAGCTCCAGCCCAGTCCAGGCATCAGGAGGCTGTTACGATGTGGAGCTTCTTGGCCGGTCCTCTGCATGACCTGGTGCAGGAAGCCCAGTTTGCTCTCTGGTGTTTGTCAATGTAAACATTCAGTGAAGGGATGGGGCAATAAACTAAATTCATCCTTTCCTGTTCCTGAGGGTGGTATACAGCAGGGACCAAGGGGATGGATGTGATTGCATGATGGGGAATCCCAGACCTGGACCCCTGAAAGCCTAGTCCAAACCCACCCACAAGGCAGTGACCAGCCTTCCTGTGACTGGGCCTAGACTTCCCTTCCCCTCCTCCACATCCACATGGCACCTTACCCCTCCCCTCAGAGCTTGGAGGCAAGTCCTGCTGACTTCATCCTTCTCCCCATCCTGCTCTCTCCCATTTCTTCATACTAGGTAGGTCTGTGTTCAGAGTTCTGAAGTTTGAAAGGATCAAGATCTTCCCTCTTTAGTGTCCAGGGTTCAGAGCTAGAAAGGATTGATCATCCAGCTCACTAAGTTTCAAACTTACGTTTTTCAGTGGACTCCTTCCACAACAAAACAAAACAAAAAAACACAACCTAAGAAGCTACTGGACTTGAAATAAGGATAGGGGGTCTTTGAGCCTGCCTTCTCTCATTATTCCTTCGCTAACCCCTTACCAGGAATCTCTGTAAAAACTAATTTGGAAATCACTGATTCATCCAACCACCCATGACACTTGAGTCTCCTAAATCACATTCCCACAAATGTGCAACACCTCTACTGATGGCATATCCACCACCACCGAAGGCTTCCCTTTCCACTTCTGGGTTAGGGCATTGCCTGTTAACTTGCAAATGCTCCTGGAGCAGAGTGACACATTATTCTGCCAGGGCTTTACATCTAATGAATGAATCAGTCAATCTAATCCCATTGCTCCCAGCTGTTCAACTAAGCCCAGATTCCAAGATGAGGGAGATGCTTGAAGGGAATCTGCATCATTTTGAAGGAAGCAGCAGGTCTCAAGTCAGGAGGGGAGGAGGTGGGCAGCAATAGGTGACACTGGATAACTAAAGGTCACCAAGGGTGCTGGGCACCTGTGCACAGGGGAGTACAACAAGGACAAATTTGGACAGTGGCAAATACCACCCATCCCCCATCCTCCTAAACCACATCCTCACCTACACCAGGGAAATGAGACACACTCCAACCAGCACAGTGTCACCAGAGCCAGGGAGCCAGCCTGGCACCAAGATGCACTGCCCAGGACTGTGACTAGGCTGTGAGGACAGCCAGAGCCCCTGGCACCATGCCCCCATGCCCTCTCCAAGATAGGCATGTGCCACACAGGCACACAAGCAGAGCAGCCAATGGCTCTTGATTTTTATTTTTTTTTTCACATGGGCAGCAGAAGATGGAGTTGTCCCATCCTCGCTCCCCTTGCATTGAATGTGCCTTGGGTCTTAAAACCCCAGAGTGTCATTGCAGCCCCCTCCTCTTGCTCCTAGTGTAGGAGGGGCAAGGAGGAAAGCCCTGTGAGTATGTGTGTTGGAGGGGAGAGGTCCCAGCTCCCTGAGCCAGGCTCAGCACCCCTCAGCAGCTCCCTGAGGCCCTCTCTCTGTGAGACTTTTGACAGACAGACAGCAGGACAGAAACATATAGCAGAGAAAGACATAGGCAGACTAGGAGACAGGCTACACACACACACACACACACACACACAGAAGCTGGCCCCTCCTTTGGCATGGTTCACCCTAGCCCTGGGGACAGGATCTAAGGGTGGTATATGGGACCTGAGCTTTGGGCTTGCCTGAGAGAGAGATGGGGCCACTTGAATTCTTGAGACCCCAAGCTCCGAGACCAAAAAAGTTCTCTCTCCTGCCTAGCCTGGATCCACACCTCTTCATGTCCCCACCCACCACTTAGAGATTGAGATTGTTCAAGTAACAAGGATAGAAGAGGGAAAAGGGAGGCTCCACTCTCATCCAGTCTTCCCAACTAGGGGCCTGTGAAAGGGGCTCCTGGGTCTAAGTCTTCTCGGCACAGATTCTCCCATTTCCCTCAACTCTGTGCAGATGAAAAAGGGGAGGAGTGGACGAACCACTGCCATTGGTCCTAGGCATAACACATGGAGTCAGACTCTTCCACCTGGTAGGGGAAGGGGGTGTGTCAAGAAGCTGAGCACCATCACCTTCCAGGGGGGCTTTTGAAAGTCCTGATGGGGTAGAGGTGGGGAGATGTCTACTTCTGGCTCCAGTCAGGGATTAGGCTGGCTCTTTTAGCTCTCAGCATTGTCCTGGACCACGAGTTCCGCTAGGGAGATCCTTTTCCAGCCTCCCCACTCAAACTTGCAAATTCCTCAGGCAGAACCTGCTGCCCCAGGATGGCACTGCAGCCATCCTGATCCAGCTGCTGCAGCTTCCCAGGATCTGGGCCCCAGCCCCAGGAGGAGAGAGGGGTGACCGGACCCTGGCACCTCAGTTGGCCTTGCTCAGTCTGTAGTGTTCCACAGGCTCCCGGCTTTCGACAGCTGACAGGGCGACGAGCATTTGGGCCGCATAGTAGGTGGACATGATGAGCGCCCGAGAGTAGGGCACAGGAAAACAGAATTTGTTAAGGGCGATGGTCAGGTCTGAGATGATAAAGAGGAGTGCACCACTGCCAGCTGCCAACTCTGTCCAGCGCCAGTCTGCCCCAGCCAGCCGCAGCCCTGCCATAGCTCGCCAGCCCATGAAGCCGATAAGGGCCACATAGACCCCCACCAGGTAGGTGAAGGCACCTGAGAGGCACGGGTAGAGGAGGGCATAGCACAGACCAGACAGCACTGCCATCACCAGACCTGTCCGAAGAGCCAGTGGCCGCATGCCAAAGGCCGAGGCGTAGAACATGTGGGTCACAGCAAACATCAGCAGACCTGGGGGTAAGAGGGGCGAAGGCAGCTGAGGGCAAGCTTGATGAAGAATGAGTAACAGGGTGGGGGTAGGGATGGAGTGAAGTGTTTGGGATAACCCAGCAGCTTTGCTTTGGGATAACAGGGGTAGGAAAATCTAAAGTTAAAGACCCCCACCCCAGTCCCCTGAAGGACTCTGGAACTGATCACTAGTTCCCCTGCGAGGTCATCCCCTAACAGGGACCCTCACAGTCCCTGGCCTCAGAAACCCTCAGGCTCCCCATACTCTGGTTCAAGAACTCCCTCTTCCAAATCTTTGCCCACAGCCCCAGGACCCTCTATCCCCCAGCCTCAGGACTCCTCCCAGGCAACTACTATGGCCACTGACCATGCACGAAGTATCCTTGGTCCTGCCAGATGAGGAAGGCGTCACCTACAGCAGAGAAGACAAGCCCCACAAAGATGCGGGTGGCACTAGGGTGGGCCAGCAGGAATCCCAGGCCATGGGCCAGAAGGAAGAGCCAGAGGCAGAAGATGGGCAGGCATTTGATGAGGGTGCTGACCCACGACGGGCTAGATGAGGGCAGCCAGAGCACGAAATACACGCAGGTGGCCTTGAAGAACGGCACCAGTTTGGGTCCTTCACTCTTCACCTGGAGGACACAGGACAAGGGCAGCACTCAGAAACTGGGGGCTCAAAGCCAGCATCCTCAGCCTAGGCATCAACCCAGAGACACTCCCACCCATACCCCCACCTCACTTCCACCCCCAACCTGAGAAGACTGACACAGAGAAACCCAGCCTGACCTGCCTCTACCAACCAGCAGGTTGTGGCCAAACCCATCACTGCCCTGAGGCTCAGTATACTAGGAGGGGGAAGGGTTCCACTGTCCTTGCTGTCTGCCTCCACTCTTGGCCCTGGGGCTGGGCCGGAATAGTCACTCACTGGGCAGCAAATAAACTTTGGAATAATGTCCCCTTTGGCAGCCTAGTGTGCTTCTCCCTTCCTGCCCCCTCCTTCTCCCTCCTCAGGGCCCCTTTGGCCCCCCTCTCTGCCAGCAACAGTCCCCAGCTGTCTGGAATGGAGTGAAGTCAGTAGGAAACCACAGAGACGCCCTGACTGGCCAACTCGTGATCCTCAGCATGGGGCCAGGGTGCAGCCTTAGGGCCCTGGCAACACCAGGTGTGTGCCAGGAATGTGGGAAGGCAGGCAATGCCAACCACCTCAGCCACCACAGCATCTCTCTCCTCAATCAATCTGTTCCTCAGCCTCCACTCCACCTGCCCCAGCCTGAAGGTGGCATCAAGGGCAAGGAGAGCTATGCTAGGGATGCTGGCTAGACAAATGGACCCATGAGTTGGGAGCAAGAAAACTGTCCCTCAAACACCAAAGATTTCAAGGATTGGGGGAAGGGAGGCTGTGTGTCAGTCAGTCTCATTTCCCAGAGAACAAGAACAACTCAAGCCACACCAGAAAGAGGCAGGAAGGGGGGGAGGGGTTCTCTTCCCAGCTTCTGATCTGGAGCCAGCAGACAGGCTGGGAGATGGGGAACTGAGAGGGGGAAGTTAGAGCAGCTGACTTGGTCTCAGCCGGATTAGCAGAGGGCAGCTAAAGAAAGGTTGTACCCAAGGCCACTGCAGGCAGAGTCCAAGCTGGAGGAGGGGGCTGCAGCGATATTCTGAATCTATGATCCTTGAAACTCCCTTCCTTGGGCTGCTAACAGATTCCTTGAGGGTGATATGGAGCCGCTGGGGTTCCCTGTACACCCACACTCTGCCCAAAGTGATTGTGTCTCTGGCTAAGTGAGCTGTCCAACACAGGACTTGGGAAACACTCAGACTCCCAGACCACCAGGTACTTAAGGACTAATCAGACTGTGATGATGAGGATTGGGAAGAGGGAGATGGGTGGGTCCAGGTTCCAAGCCTTTCCTTGTTCTGCCAGAGGTAAGAGCAGTGAGAAGAGATGACTTCCACTTCCCATGGAAATTAAGGCTGGTCAGGGTAGGGGCATGGTCCATGGAGGAGGCTGGAGGGGATGCCCAGGCCCACAACGCCCAGCAACCACCTGCCAGCCCCTGGGAGCATTAACCTCCGCTCCATGGCCTCTCCCAGCCCCATATTTTCTAGAAGGAGATACCAGAAGTAGCTGAGGAGACCCTTACAGTTATAGGGAAGCCCATAGTAGAATAAGGAGGATGGGGAGACGAGACAAAAGGCTCGAGCTGAGAAAGTCTGAAAAGCAGGGGATGTCAGAAAGAATGCCCCCTTTTCCTCCAGCGCGTTATCAGGGCTCCTTAGACTCAGGGGCGTCCGCCAACTTGTTTACAAAATGAGGAAGGTTAGGAAACAAACTTGGGACGGCATTCCCAGGAGGTCCCTGTCATCCTCCCAGCACTCCCCGCCCCCACGCCTCCCCGTGGTCCGCCTACGCAGAACCCGGCGGCCGCCAGCGGTCCCCTCCCTCTCCCGGGCCCCGACCCCGCCGACCGGCGCCAAATACATGGAGATCAACAAAGTCACGCTTCCGAGTCACGTGGCCAGTGTTTTCCTCCCTCCCGCGGGCGGGCTGGGGGCGAGAGAGGAGGGGCGCCGCGAGTCTGAGGAGCGGGGGGCCGTGACAGCGCCCGCCTCCCGCCGGGGAACGCCGGCCGCCGCGGGACCCCCGCCCCGCCTCGGCCCCTAGCAGCTCGGCCTGCCGAAGTCCGGTGGCCAGGCCGGTGGGCTCCAGCCGCGCCGGGCACTGGCTCGCTCGCTCGCTCACTCACCACAGTGACCGGGGACACCATGGCGGGGGCGGCGGCGGCGGCTGGCACCCCGCTCCGGGCTGCAGCGCCAAGGACGCGCCCACGGCCAGGTGAGCCGGCGACGACTCTCCAAAGCGCGGAGGGACGGACAATACCTCCCGAGCGCCAGGCGCCCGGGTTCTGTCAGCTAGCCCCGTGACGTCACCGCGGCCAGGGCCAATGAGCGGGCGGGAGCCCGGGGGGCGGGGCCCGGCTGGCGGCGCCGGCCAGGCCCCCGGCTGCTGCTCGGAGAAACGAAGCATCTCCCAGGGGTCAGAAGGCGGGGACCCCCAGGCCCCGCCCCCTTGGGAGGCCGTGCCAAGGCGTCCACGGAACGTGAACGTGACCGTGATCCCAGTGCCTGGGTGAGGACTGAGCTTGGCTCAGAGACAAACACATTGCTGTCCTGGACGCACAGCCACATACATTTTCTCATAACCCAGGAGCAAAAGGCAAAGACAGATTCCCTTAAGCCTTTAAACATGCAGTCCACGCCGATACAATTGCAACTGGACCCAAAACCTTCACTGTGTACAAACACACATCCAAATCATCAGCAAACACAAAACATTCGACTTGAAAAGCGGCACGTATATAGGTATGCAGCAGCCATGGACCCATAATCGTAGCATATACATCACACATACAGAATCATATTTACCCTTAAGCACTCAACAAGTACACAGATCCAAAACCAATAACCCCAAATTGGCATATATTCTCCAAGTAAGAATAGAGACATATACAGGGGCTCTACAGCAGCTCGTAGACCCATGACCCTAATATAGAAACAAACACAGATAATTGCCCATAGGCACACACCTCTTACAACTCAGAGACAACTGCCACACATACAAGAGCACCCCAAGAATGACAGACAGGCAGACCTGAGTATACTTAAGGACCCAAAGAAGCGTGAGCTAACTTTGCCAAAAATACGTCCCAAGTTGATTTAATGTTGATTTTACGTAAAGTAAACGAACACAAGCTCATTCAGAGCCGTGCATGTTCAGAATCATTGGAATTACATGGATGGAGAGGTAGGTGGCCAGATGGACTGAAATCTAGTCCCAGTTTTGCCACTTCCATGCTGTTCAATTGAGTGAATCACTTCCCCTCTCTGGTCTTGATTTCCTTGCTTAGAAGATGAGCGGGTGAGTTATAAGGTTCCACCCAATTCTGACATGTATGGGATGGGGAAGAGGAAGGGCTGCTGGTTTTAGGAAATTTAAGTCTAGCAATCCTGGAGATGGAGATTTCAGCTATATCTCAAAGGATGGACAAGTGGTCTGTAATCTGCTGTAGAAGAGCAGTAGCTGTGTGTCAGGCTTTGGGAATTGATGGGAAAGGGGTGACCAGCCCTAATTAGCAGCCATAAAGGAGTTTCAAACATCCTTGCATGGTGACACAGGCCATTGTGCTGGTCCTGAGCGTTGTGCTGGTCCTGAGCGTTGTGCTGTTTGGGCAGAGACCCACAGGTTGAAGTCTCCTGTAGGCCCCTCCCACAATGGGTCTCTTCCTTTGTCTTCTGGATCCTACCTAGTTTTCCCTAAAGTCCCAACACCCATTCAGACGGGTGATAGTCCTCTTCTGGTGACGGAATTAGCAACCAGAGCTTCAGAGCCCAGTACAACAAGAGTGAGAGTCAAGGCTTGGAACAGGGGTCACCCAGATCTTCCCCCCATCCCCTCCAGTCCCCTCCAGCATAGAGTTCTAAGAGTCAATGACCTCTGCCTACTCCGCTTTCTTTCCAGTTAGGGACTTCAGGGAGAGCACCTTACCATAATGAAGGACTAGAACTGCTGCCCCAGGGCTTTGTCATACACACATACACACACACACACACATTTCTACAAAGTGTGCTGCCTAGCGAGAACACTGGCTTGAGAGTTAGAAATGCCATTCTTAGCCCTAGTGCTTCCTTCTCCGTGACTCACTACTGTGGTTGTATAATTGAGCACATCATTCCATCTTTGGAGCTTCAGTTTTTTTCATGAATAAAATGGAGGAAATGGGCTAGTAGAAGGTGCAAATATTCCAGTTTTCCAGCCAAACCCTCTAACATCACCTGAGGGATAGTTCTCAAACAGAAATTGCCAAGTCAGGGCATTTTTCATTTCTCTAAACCTTAGTTTGCCTCTCTATAAAAATGAGAAGGTGGATTATATCTGTGGTTCCTAACAAGAGGTACCTACCCAAGAGGTACAAATCACTTGGGAAGCTTTTAAAAACTTAGATGCCCTTGCCCCACCCAAGACCTACTAATTAGTGGCACAAGTTTTAAGAAGCTTGCACACACAAATACCTAACGATACAAAACATGAGACTCAGAACTCCCATCTACAGGGTTCCACTCAGTGCTTGATTACCCAGTAGGCAAACTAATCATATTCACAGGTCGCCTACAAAGCGGAGGCATCTACCCTCAATGCGGGTTTTTCTCCATTTGCCCTCCCACCACCTAGATTCATTCTTGGCTCTTCTCTACCCTGTTCTGGGAGCCTGAGCTCTATGGACTCTATCTGCAGGGATCACCAGGGCCCTGGCATCTGGTTGGGTTCAGCCAGTGAAATTCAGAGGCAGGAGAGGAGAGCATGGATGAGTCCTGATGGACCAGACTGAGATTCTGGCTGTGGCCTTGCTTCTCCATGGCTACAGCCCCAGGCTCCCTCCCTATACCTTCAGGTCAGGGGTGGCAACAGTTTCTTGCTGTTGCTAGTCTTTTTTTTTTTTTTTTTTTTTTTTTGATACAGGGTCTCGCTCTGTCACCCAGGCTGCCGTGCAGTGGTGTGATCTATGCTCACTGCAACCTCTGCCTCCTGGGTTCAAGCGATTCTCCTGCCTCAGCTTCCCGAGTAGCTGGGATTACAGGCGTGTGCCACCATGCCTGGCTAATTTTGTATTTTTAGTAGAGATGGGGTTTCACCATGTTGGTCAGGCTGGTCTCGAACTCCTGACCTCAGGTGATCCACCCGCCTCAGCCTCCCAAAGTACTGGGATTACAGACATGAGCCACCATGCCCAGTGCTATTGCTTGTCTTTAGATGCCTCCTCACCCATGACTAGTTTCATCTCTGCAAATAGTCATTAACTTCTCTTCACTTAAATTATTGAGTGTGCCAGCACCCTGGCTGATATAGGTGCCCACAAAGCAGAGGCACCACCCTCTTCCCAAAGAGAAAGAGTTTATTCTGACTTCATTCACATGGTTGAGATTTGTTGTTTCAAAAATAAATTTTTATTTACTATTTACTAATGTTTACTATTTACTAGAGTTTTTATTTTGAATTGCATATTGCAGGAGGTGAAAAGTGGGATATGGCTGCCTGAAAATGGGCATTTCTTCCTTTTGGTAGGAACTGGCATTTCTTCCTTTCCGACCTATTAGCATGGCCCTTTTCACATAGCTTTGTAATTTTCCCTGTGCTTGTGAGCCCATTCACTCACTCATTCATCCAACAAGTGTTTATAGTGCACCTAATACGTGCTAGCCACTGTATTAGGTGCGGGGGTGTAAAATATTGAGTAAAATATATTCTCTATCCTTATGGAGCTTACAGTTCATTTCAGACAGGCAAGTAAACAATTACGCAATGTGGCAGCTGACCTAATGAAGTATGAAGGTGTCACAGGTGGCATTAAAAAAGACATCAGAATTATAAATTGCACCTGGAGCAATTGCAGAAGCTAGAGTTAAATCTAGAAGAACGAGTTAGTCTTTATTGAGCAGACACCAATGGACATGCCATTCTAGGCAGAAGGAATTGCATGTGTACATAAAAGCACAAGAGACACACTGAATTCAGGGAAATACCTGTAGTACTGATTCGAGCTGGGGAGTGAGAAGGGGAAACTGAAGAAGCATGAGCCAATTCAGGTCTTGAAGGTTCTATTCAGCCAGGCGCAGTGGCTCATGCCTGTAATCCCAGCACTTTCGGAGGCCAAGGTGGGCGGATCACCTGAGGTCAGGAGTTCGAGACGAGCCTGGCCAACATGATGAAACCCCGTCTCTACTAAAATTAAAAAAAAAAAAAAAATTAGCTGGGCATGGTGGTGGGCACCTGTAATCCCAGCTACTCGGTTCAAGGAGAATCGCTTGAACCCAGGAAGCAGAGGTTTCAGTGAGCCGAGATTGTGCCACTGCACTCCAGCCTGGGCAATAAGAGGTTAACTCTGTCTCAAAATAAATAAATAAATAAATATGAAACTTCTACTAAGAAGTTTAGACTTGATGTAGTAGATGACACTAAACCAATTGTCCTCTGTTCCTTAGCATCTCTAATTGTGCCCGCTGTCGCCCACCAGAGACATGGGCAAGGCACAGACATGATGACGCATCATCATTCTGGGCTTGCCTCACTTCCCCCATGGGGCTGCTTCTCACCCAGTGCTCTCCTTCATCTCTGACCCCTGTTGTTTTGCCACAGGATATTTTTCCTCACTTAGTTTGTCCTGCTTGAAATCATAATCCAGTCCTAAACTGGTTATCTTATTCCCGACCTGATGCTGGATCTCAGCTAATTTCTTTTCTGTTCCAGGCCTCCAGAGCACTGTTTTCTTTTTTCTTTTTCTTTTTTTTTTGGAGACAGAGTCTCACTCTGTCGCCCAGGCTGGAGTGCAGTGGCGCGATCTCGGCTCACTGCCGCCTCCCAGGTTCACGCCATTCTCCTATCTCAGCCTCCCGAGTAGCTGGGACTACAGGCGCCCACCACCACGCCCGGCTAATTTTTTGTATTTTTAGTAGAGATGGGGTTTCACAATGCTAGCCAGGATGGTCTCGAGCTCCTGACCTCATGATCCACCCGCCTTGGCCTCCCAAAGTGCTGGAATTTCAGGCGTGAGCCACTATGCCTGGCCTCCAGAGCACTTTTAACCAACTCTCAGGGTCACCACCCAAACCCGATTCTACCCCTACTGCACCTGTAGATATGGTAAAGAAATCAGAGATGTTGGCCGGGCGCGGTGGCTCAAGCCTGTAATCCCAGCACTTTGGGAGGCCGAGACGGGCAGATCACGAGGTCAGGAGATCCAGACCATCCTGGCTAACACGGTGAAACCCCGTCTCTACTAAAAAGACAAAAAACTAGCCGGGCGAGGTGGCGGGCGCCTGTAGTCCCAGCTACTTGGGAGGCTGAGGCAGGAGAATGGCGGGAACCCGGGAG